CCGAAGCCGGGAGAGAACGCCCGGATATGAAAACATTGCGGCGTCGGGATCTCAGGGCGGGGGAGCGGGCGGCGTCGGGGCGGGACAGCATACAGCGCGGCAGGATCATAGGGGTGCGCGGTGAGGACGATCATGTCCAGGGAGTTGTCGATAATTGACCCTGTTTGAGTGTAGAGTACAGGAGGACCACCCTCACCCCTGAAGCGAAGCCCTCCAGTAAACTAACCCGAAGAAGGGATCGAACAGGGCAGGACTATCCACTACACGCTCAGGACTGCTTCAGAAAACACAAAGTATGAGGGTCAGGGTGATTCCCCCCTGGTAGCAAATGGCAAGACTAATCAGCATCGAAGTGAGAAGCCAGATCGGATCGAAACGCGCATCGGATCGAATCGGCTGCGCTAAGATAAACAACGCCAACATCGGCCCGCATTGGATCGTCGGCATACAGGAATCGGAAAGGATCGGGCTGGTCAAACTCGACACCGAATCGGGTCGACCGGATCGACATGGAGACTGAAGGGCGGTGAGCCCCTCCCCAGAGGCCCCGAAATGGCGGAAGCGAGGGAAGGCTCTCGGCATCGGCCTGTGAGCCCGACCTTCCTTCCCACTTTTTGTTCGTTGCGCCAATAGGAAAGACGGCGCAAGCGGCACCAAGCGACAATGGAACTGGTGTTCCACGGTGCAGGCGACACCACGGGACAGTGCTACTGTTAGGTCGGGCATGTCCCCCTACAGGCGGATTTTGGACGAAAAATTATAAAATACCCAAACCATACCCCAACATAGCCAAAACATATTGAAAACATCGTCCCCAGACTATTATTTTTTCTATTTTTGAATATTCCTCCTGTGGAGGGACAGGCCCGACTTAATGCTATTGGGGCGGGCGGGCGGGACGAGGGGTCCTCCCTGTAACCCCATGCTGCTGCGGCTTGCCAGGGAAGGGCAGGAGAGACAAGCAGGAGACCGATGGAAGCGGGGGGCACGCGGAGCTAATTTTCATTCGCCTTCGCGGATCAGCGCCTTGTCGTCCCGGGATCCCCAGGAGCTCTCCGAAACGTGCCCTGAGGCGACCGATCGATCGACACGTGCACGGTGTGGTCGGGGGCGGACGAGAGAGGGGCGGGGCAGCGGAGGGCGGTGAGGCCCAACCTGGCCGGAGGCCCCCCTCGCAGAGGGGGACATCGAGGGGAGGGCCTCCGTACAGTCAAAACGCATAATAAGGATGCGCGGTGAGAATGCGAGGGCCTTGGAAGGCCATGTTGACGTTTTTCGGAGGGGCTTAGAAATTTGTTCATACTTACTATGCGCTTTAACTGTACTACTATGGCTTTCCGCCCTGGAGCCCCGAGGCGCTCCGAGTCGGGCTCTGGGGCGCTCGATTCGTGCACGGAGACCCCTCCTCCTCTTTCTTCCCCCTCTCCACCCTTTAGCCTCTTAGTCCATACTCCTCCGTCCTCCGTCCTCGGTCCTCCTCCTCCTTCCCGGAAGTCGACGACCTCCTCCAGGGTGCGTTTTCTGAAGAGTTGAGGCGGATCGAGCCGTGGCGCTGAGACGCCTCCGCGGGGCCCTGACGAAGCAAATCGCATCCCCAAGCCCATCATCGTCGTCGTCCTCATCCTCATTCCCCCTCCCCCTCCCTTGCCCTCTCCTTCCTCGTCCTCCATGCCCCTCCTCCTCCGTCCTCCGTCCTCCGTCCTCCGTCCTCCGTCCTCCGTCCTCGTCCTCCTCCTCCTCCTCCTCCGCGTCCTCCTCCTCCTGCCTACCGTGCACTGTAAGAAAAACTGAAGGGCATCGAGCCGTGCTCCGCGAGACCCAGACAAGGCAAATCGCATCGCCAAAGTCGTCGTCGTCGTCGTCGTCGTCGAGGTCGTCGTCGTCGTCGTCGTCGTCGTGAACGTGGTCGTGGTCGTGGTCGTGGTCGTTGTCGTGGTCGTGGTCGTCGTCTTCGTAGTCGTCGTGTTGCTGTTGTTGTTGGTGGTGGTGGTGGTCGTCGTCGCCTTCTTCCTCCTCGTCTTCCACGCCCTGAACATCGACGTCCAGACCTGTTCTGGGGTACGCTTTGAAGAGTTGAGGGGCATCAGGCCGTGGCGACTAGTCGCCTCCGCGAGACCCTGGCAAAGCAAATCGCATTCCCAAAGCCATCACCGTCGTCATAGTCCTTGTCCTTGTCCTTGTCCTCCTCCTCCTCCTCCTCCTCCTCCTCCTCCTCCCCCCCCGCGTGTGCGGGGGGAGATAAGGGATGGGATGGTAGAAGAAGGAGGAATGACGGAGGAGGCAAGAGCAGGATGAGGATGAGGAGGAGCAGGAGGTGGATGAGGAGGAGGCGGGGGAGGAATGAAGCGGTTTCTTGGACTTCAGCGGTACAGCACGCGATACGTTCAGGAGGGTGGTGAGACCCCGAAGGACGCGTGAACAGGGAGCTTTATCCACTTGCAGGACCAGATGGCGGCATGGATGGTTCCTCGTGTGCTGTCAGAGGTGCGCCTGGAAGCGGCGGACTGACGATCGTGAACAACATGCCATTACTATTGTGATCCGCAAGAGTGGCGGGAACTTTCATGGACCACCCGAGCCTTAGCACCGATATACGGAGCGTGCTGTCTGGCCCACAGCACACATCTCCACGTCTTAGGCGGCTCGCGAGAAACATGGACAGAGGACCGCATCCTGCGAAGCTCGGGCATGGACATCGAACAAACCAATGCACTGTACCGAAACGCCTACACCTCCATGCTCCACCGAACGTCTGGTGCTTTAGCTCCATGCGAGCACGGCTCATCTGCGCAAGCCAGCGCTGCCGAGGGTGAGTGACCTCCGCACCCCGGCCTCAACCACTGTCCTGCCTCTGTCCCCATCTGGCCCAACTCATGGATACTGACACCTCAATATTGCCTCCAGGCCCCCGAAAGACCTCAACGAGACCCCAAAGAGCATCCAAGAGGCCTCATACCCACAATCCAGGCACGGTGGCGGGATGGGCCGAAAACCATTAAATACTGACACTGTTTATCAACCATTGTGCACCGTAACAGAGACCAGGCAGCCTATACAACAGACCTGCGAGCCGCGGCCCCTGACACGTGCTTCTGCCTCCCGAACCGGGCCGCTCTGCTCTCGGAGCTCCTCCTCTTCTTATGCCTATAGTCGCCCGTCCCTTCACCCTGCGAGACTTCTCTGCCGTGCCACCAGAGTGGGGGGGACGGAGGAAGGTGAAATAGGGTAAGGTAAGGCTGCGCAAGAGGCGAGTTCGATCCAGTCACCACGATGGAGAAGCGGACGACGAGGAGGGCCTCCACGAAACTGATGGAAGCAAAGCCCAAACTCTCGCTTGAGGCTTGCCCGGGTTGCCGCACTTGGCCCTCCTTGGAGCCGCGGGCGTACCGCGTTGCGGGGGGTTCAGAGTGACCGAGACCCCTGCTGGGCCGTTGAAGCGAGGAGCCTCAGCAGGCCGCTGGCGTATCAGGCTCCGGGAGGAGGGCGACCGACAGCGACACTCACGACGACAGCAGGGCGAGGGGGAAGATTTTTGACATCTACGGCTACAGGTCCCCTCCAAAGGGGCTCCAGCTGCTACGAGGATGCTGGCGCCAATCTGGGAGAGAGCCCAGACGTCCGATACCAGAGCGCTGACAGACAGGCCAGACAGCAGCGAAGGAACGGCCCTGCGAAGGACCACACCGAGGCCGAGCCTCCGAGGTTAGGGGGAGGAGGAGGGGAGAGGAGAGCCAGGATAGGGCCTTCTAGATGGGGCCCGAGTAGATGGGGTCGGAGGATGGCGCCGCATCGCCGATACATCGGAGATGCATCGGCGATGCATTGGCGATGCATCGGCGATGCACCGGCGATGCATCGTCAACGTGGGCGATGCATCGGCGACGCCGGCGTGGAGAAAATCGGGCTGCCCATCGAGCCGCATCGCCGATGCATCGGCGATGCGGCGCGATCCTCCGACCCCATCTACTCCGAACCCATCCGGGAGGCCTAGACAGGAGGACATGGACCCTGCCATCCGTCGATGTGATCCGCGGCCCCCGGAACTCCTGACCCCCTCCCGGGGGCTGGTTTTCCCGTCCCCGCTCCACTTCCCCGGGGCCCGAAAAAGCGGCCCCCCGAGGGCCGAGATCGAGGAGAGATGCCGGTCGGACAAAGTCAGGTCGTCGGAGGTCTGGGGATGATTGGATCACAGTCAACCCGTATGCTAAGGACGCACGATAAGGATGCAAGGGCCTTGGGGGGTCACGTCTACGTTGCGGGCGGGGCGCGGCCAGCGAAAGCGGCCCAGGATAGGCCGAAGAGGAGTGACGCGAGGGTAACCTGGGGAAGTCGCTCATCCTTCCTATGCGTGTTGACTGTACACTTCATCAAAGAACGATTCCAACTGCCCGTAGTCATGAGAATTTCATTGCATGACCCCGTAAAATCTTGCAGCCGCTTGCTGCACCGTGAATTGTTGTCATAGCCCTGCAACATCTTGGCTCAAGAAACCGGATCAAGACTTACCCTCTCAATCTCAACATGCTCAATTGCGGTCGGCAACCTTTGCTTAGAGTGTCGCAACGATGGCCCTGGCGTCACGCTATCCTTTGCGAGTGGATAGCGTGTCGCTCCGCTCCGCGGGGCGGGAGGTCGGGAGAAGCTCGGGACATTGACGCTTTGAGGCCCAGAAATGAACACGTCAGCGTGCCGAGCCAAAGCGTGGCAGGCCAGAACTGGAAGGGCGACGCGCCATCCCAGAGTTCTCGACCGTTCACTCCACCCACCCCCCCCTGCATTCTCTCCGAAGAGGCCGGCTGCATGTAGGGTCAAGTCGGGCCTGTCCTCCTACAGGGGGATTTTGAACGAAACAAAATAATCAAACGATACCCCAAAATGGTCGAAAATAGCAAAACAAGTCGTCCCCACTCTACTCTTTGACTATTTTTGAATATTCCTCCTGTAGAGGGACAGGCCCGACTTACATGTAGGGTCGACGGCCACGAGGACCCCCCCGGAGCCTTGGCGTTCTTCAGCGCGTCCAGCTCGCTCGCGCGGGCCTGCCGCCGATCGTCGGCCACGTGTGGCGCCCTTCTCCTGCTTCTCATCCTCGCCCTCGCTCTCAGTCTCGCTCTCGCTCTCGCCCTTGTCCTCGTCGTCCTTGCCCTTCACATCCAACTCCTCCTCCTCCTCCTCCTCCTCCTCCTCCTCCTCCTCCTCCTCCCCCTCCCTCCCTCCCTCGCTGGAGGATGGCGGCAGCGAGGGCAGCTAGGACAGCATGGAGAGAGGGATGAGAGGGGGGAGGATGAGGATGAATACAATCCAAATCTACCACTGCCAGTGCTAGGAGGGGGACAATTGGAGAAGGAGGACGAGAAGGAGGGAGGGCATGGAGGGATGGCAGTTGCATTGGGCGTGAGCCGAACCTCCTTTCTCACGTCCGAATACTTCATCAGCCAATCGCACTCGGCGTGCAGAGAGGAGATGAACTTCGCGGTGGCCATCAGCTCCTCCGCAACTGCTCTGCTAGGCAGGGGCGCCTTTTTACCAGTGCGAGAGGGTCGCCCTGAGGCAGAGGGAAACGGGGAGAGCCGCGGGGAAGGGCCTTTCGTTCATTCTCAGACCCCCTCGCGTTGTGACCAAAAACTCACTACGGACAATTTCAGACGTTTTCGGCTTCTAGGGGCCCTCATCGGGCCCTGGGACCGTTAAACATCGACTTGGGATGAAAAACCGGTCCCGCGGAAAAAATCATGGCCTCTGGGGGCCACGTCGCGAAAACCTCACGACGGGTTGGAGGCCTTCCACATGGGGTCTGGGCAGATGAGGTCGGCTGATCGCACCACATCGCCGATGAATCAGCGCCGCCGGCGCGGAGATAGTCGGGCTCTGCGCCGAGTCGCATCGCCGATGCGGCACGATGCTCCGACCCAGATGGAAGGCATCATGGATCATGGAGGGCACGGAGGAGGCAGGAGGTGGAATAAAAGGAAAGGCGCTTCGGAGACGTGTCAGCAGCACCGGCGGCGGGGCCTATGCTGTGCAACGTTCCTGCTGTGGGGATGCAGATGCAGGGCCGACGGGCCTCTCACCCGCGGCCTGCCTGGGGCGCCCCCCTGACCCCTGGGGTGAGGGGGGGGCCCGCGCAGGGGGCAGACAGGAGGAGGAGGAGGAGGAGGAGGAGGAGGAGGAGGAGGAGGAGGAGGAGGACCATTGTAAACGCTAGACTCATCAACGATGTTGGAATGACCCCTCCCTCCAAGGAAATGCCCCTCTGGGAGACAACCGTTTGAAGAACCTGAGACGTGCCAACACACCATTTTTGGAACTTTAGCGCCACGAGTTAACTTGACTGTTGCCTGTTGACGATCCTGAGTCGTATCAGAACACCACTCCTGGGACTTCAACACCGCGAATCAACGTGACTGTGGTGGCCTGACAATCATCAGTCCTTCCAAAAACGCAGTTTCTGGGTTTACCACGGCAACCCGCGCGAGTCTTGTAAAGATCTAAAACGAGTGTGCGCGGCGCTATGGCGAGAAACACATTTTGAAAACGGTCCGCCCTAAATCCGTGACACTCGTGGCACTCGTGGCACTTGTCAAAACGATTGTGTGCGGCGCTAGAAACGAAAAGCACATCTTGAAAACGACCCGCCCACAGTACGTGAAGCTGTTGCCAACATTTAAGCTCCACGATCATGAATTGCAAGGAACTCTCTGGCGAAACGCCCAGCCCGCCCTTGAGAGTGGCCTCGGGGTGCGACAGCTTGTATGCGTTCGCCCTCCCCACACCTCTTCCACCTTCTCCCGCCCACAATCGGGCGCACTCCTCAGACGTTTCGTTGTCCCATAGGGTGCTTCACCCAAGGCCTCAGTGGCAGAGGAATGGAGGAGTGGGAGGAGGAGGAGGAGGAGGAGGAGGAGGAGGAGGAGGAGGAGGAGGAGGAGGAGGAGGAGGAGGAGGAGGGAAAGACGAGAGGCAGGCGGAGGGGGTGGATGGGGGCAGCAAAAGCACCAGCGTTGGCGCGACAAGCTGCCGCCAACTCAGCGCCCCAAAGCTTTGCGGAGGGGGGCGGGGTCCGGGCCCGGAGTGGAACAGGCTCCGTGGGGCGCCTCGGCTGTGTGGCTCGGGGGCACGTGCGAGGCGACGACGCGGGAGCTGCCCCCGCTCTGAGGCCCCCTCCCCCCCCTTCCCCCTTTCCCGCCGTCCCCCCCTTGTCCCCTTTCCCCCGTGCCCCCCCCCGTCCCCCTTCGCTGTGTCCAGAATGGACTGCCCTCAACCAGGGGGTGAGATCTGCAAGCTGCGGCGCGCGACTCTGCCCTGTTTGCACCCCTCCTCTTCATGATCCTCCTCCCCCTCCCCCTCCCCCTCCTTTTCCTCCCTTTCCTCCTCCTCCTCATCCTCCTTCTCCTGCGTGCTTCGGGCGTCCGCCCCATTTCGACCCTCCTCCTTCACTTCCTCTGTCGTACGTCCTGGGCCACCCTTTCGGGTCTGTATGGGGTGTCCTCAGGTCCCTTCGAGCTCTCTGTGCCGAGTGTTGCCTCAATGCTCCTTGGGTGGCCCAAAGAGCCAAAGGGCGGACTCCTTGGGGAGGTCACGTGACTTCTGCTGTGTGTCGCGTGTCTTGCCTTGAGACCAGTAGGTTCCAAAACGGATTTAAGAGGCTTCGATATGACATGGCCCCGGGAGCCCCGAAACGTTTCAAGAGACTCAATGCACAGATTTTCAAAGCATAAGTGCCCCCACGAGGAGGGGGGACACAAAAGACATTTGGGAGCGTTTTCCCAAACTAGTGCACCCAGAGCTCATCATGCCCGCCCCCCCCCAAGCGCCCAACAGGCCCCAAGATGTCTCTAAGAACATTCCAAGAGGCCCCCACAAGAATCGCAAGAGGCCCCGAAGAGACCTCCGAGACGCAACGAAATGCATCCACAGAGACCGTAACGGGCAACTGCCCCTGGCCCACATAATCATCAGCAACACAGGCACGGTGGCGGGATGGGCCGAAGGCTACCAAATTTCTGCTACGGTGGGCTCGTGCGGCGTCGACGCGCGCACAGGTTTTTGACACCGCGTCGATCGTTCAACCTTGAATCGGTCACGGCCCCCATCGTTCACGGTTGAATTCAGTCAGGTCCAGTGGCGATGCCGTGCCCATCGGTGCTTCCGCATTGCAGCATTCGACCTTGAGCGTTCTCGCCAACGTCGCTGGCGCGCCAACGCCGCACGAACCTGCCGTGGGGTGGGATGTGTACACCTCCCGCTGGGCGGTGGGTATGGGTATGCTTGGGACCCTGGAAGGCCCGAACATATCCGTGCCCGCCGCCCCCAAACAATCTGGGGAAATCGGCTCCCCAGGCGGTGGACATGTGCGTGTGAATCCTGGCCCTGGAGTTGAGCATCGTTTCGCTGACACCCACGGAAGGGGCATCGGACAAGGGTCTGGAAGCCGGAGGATCACCACTTGTGGCTTGGCCATGGAAACCACCGCCGCCATCATCAGATAATGAACCCTCAGGGGTCTGAAGCCTCCTGGGCAAATTCCTTACACAACGCCCCCACCGCATCCCCGTCCCCGCCCCCGTCCAGATCTCCACGGTGGAGATCTGGACTGACACCAAATCGGCCAGTGGGGCTCAGGCCACGCCGTTGGTGATGGGGGTCGGATACACGATTATCAGGAATCTCGAAGCCCGGGGGGAAGGGCGGCATGACGCGTGCCCTCTGCCTGGATTCCTCGACAAGCAAGGCGTGGAAGCAGACCGGCGCCGTGCCACAGGCGAGCTCGCCTCGAGATGCCGCGGGGGGCGTGCGGCGATGGCCGCCTTGTGCGACGAAGGCGTGCGCGCCGACCAGGGGGGTGGGGGGATGGGGGACGGCTTCTCAGAAGGAGGCCGCTTCTCAGAAGCAACGGGCCTTGTCTGCAGATGTAAGGCCGGCGCCCTCTAAGAAGCAGCCTCCATCCAAGAAGCCTGCCCCTTCCCCCTGCCCTTCTGTGCGCGCCGCCACCCCCCCACTTGGGCTCCTTCGTGCCCGCAAACCCTGGGTGGTCTTTGTCGGTCTTCTGGCGGTCCTCTGAGAGCCTTCGGCGGTCTTCGGCGGGTGTTCTGCGGTTCTCGGCGCGAAAGCTGGACAGTTGCGATTAACGACGGGTCCATGATCGAGCACCTATTTGTTCGACTCTTATGGGAAGAGGGCCGCCGGAGGAACCACCTCATATTTCCGATGGCGACAACGGGTAGCCCGCGAGCGGCGCCAATGCCACCTCCGCCGCCGAGAAGGCTCGCCCCTCGCCGCCCTCGCGGCCGCGCAACGTCGCGCTTGCCGAACAGCGGAAGTACCGGGCTGCGCCGCCACGACAAGTAAGAGAAGCGGGACAAGCCACGCGGTGAAGGTGGTCCTGCTTGTAATTCACGGAGCGTGATGAGCGTATGAAACGCCTCATCAAGATTGCGAGGTAATGCCAACGCTTCAGCAATATAACTTGATATCACTTGAGTGTCGGACAGCCGCGTTGGAGGAACATGAACATCGATGACACCGTAAGGGCCAACTCCCTGTAACAAGGGTGGGGGCGGGCGGCAGGCTTTAGAAACCACCGCCCACAGGGTCTGACAAGCGAACGGCATGTACGTCCTGGGGCTCGCTTTAACACAGCGCCTGCCTAGCCAACTGATGCATTATCCGCGACGGGCTGGACCTTGATACCATGCGGATTGCCTATTTTAGAGGCGGGAAGCGCGACTTGCACAACGCCCGTGCGCGTATTAGGTCATTGAACTCGAGTAGTGAATCTATGCTAAATCCATTAGTTGAACTGTGCGTTCGTCACTTAGTTCTACTGTAAAACAACTCGCCCGCAGCGCGGGAAACAGGGGGAGGAACGGCAGCGGTAGCGGTACTACTGAGCTGCGCATAGTCGCCCATTGCCGCCCCAACACAGAACATCCAAGGGTGCCCTCCCCAGGGTGCACAAGAACAACCAACAATCACGAAAACATGAGGGTACCCCCCCGAGCCGACCTCGATTTTATACGTCGGTCCGACTGTGAGTGCAGGGTGGGACCAGTAAGTCCCCCAAAACCCTGCCCAAGGGGCTCGCGATGAAACAGGGACTGCCCCTGCGTGTGATGCGTACTGCACCAGCTGTGCAGGCTGGAGCATTTTGCGCGCGGCGAGCGCGCGACGGCATTATTTTCCAGGGGGGTTCCAAATCTAATCGATAGGTCGGGGCGGCGATCGAAATGAATCGGATCGGCGGACATCGGCAGCCAAATCGGGAGAAGCCAACTCGGCGGACATCGGCAAGCTAGTAAGGTCTCCATTGCGAAACCGAAATTCAAATCGGAATCCACAACTGAACCGGATCGGGATCGCAATCGGTCGAAACCGAACCGAGTCGTGTGTGAAGAATCGAAATGAGCCCTATCGAGCGCTCGAACGGGTTGACAAAAACCATCTCAAAAGCCAGCCCAGGCCCGGCGCGGGACTCGCGCTCAAGGCTCCCCTTATCGACGGGCGCCTCGAGAAAACCCTCCGCCCGCCCCGTCCCCCGAGGCTCGACCGGAGACGACAAGGGGAACCGAAGGAGGGAGGGGCCGCTACGACGAGGACGAGGGAAGCGCCCTCCGGGCGTTAAGATCGCCAGCAAATGCGGCTTCGTCAAAATTTGGCGATCTCGTGGCTGCGTAGTTGGCAGCAGAATGGTATCTCCAAGGGCCAACTACGCACACAAGGCTGCCTCGCACAACGTCGAACACGTGTGGAACAATGCGCGAGGCGTACACGGTTGCGGGCGTGCCATGCCCAATGTTCCGGATTCTTTTTGATGGGCCCCGAATTCCAAAGCCGAAACCGTCACCGAGAAAACCAGCAGGATTCAAGGACTCATATCGTCGGTGATCTGGGCGTGGTCCACGTGTGCGACAACACGTGGATCCTGATGTAAAGAGCACGATTGCCAAGAGTGTATGAAAGCGCCTGTTGCACAACGGACACATGGCGTGTGCACGGCCCAGGTGAGTGGCAACGATATCAAGGGACGGGCTCAGGGGGGAAACGTCGAACTGACATCGGCAATGCATCGCCGATCGATCGACGATGGCCCCCGATAACACATCCGTTCGCTTCTGTGCGGGGTGGGCTATCGGGCCCCTACAGCCACCTGTATAATAAGGACGCACGAAAAGGGTTCACATGCCTTGAAGGCCATGCCGACACTTGTGACCGGGGCTCGGCCAGCGAAAGCGGCCAAGGATGGGCCTTAGGGGAAGGATGCAAGGGTAGCATTGGAAAGTTGCTCACTATGCGGATTGACTGCATCGGCGATCAGTGGACGTTCGGGGGTCGATGCGTCGACTGGGCGTCGATGCGTCCCAACCTGAGCCCAGCCCCCCATAGTCGGAGCTAGGCCAGAAGGACATCCTTCAAGAACATCAGACCCTCCGCTGGCGAAAACGCACAGAGCATCCAAGAGTACCCTCCCCACGATGCACAAGAACATCCCGCAAACACGAAGAACATTAGGGTACCTTCCCCGAACCGACCTCGATCTTATACCTCGGTCCGACTGTAGCAGCGCCCCTGACCAAAGGCGAGGCCCCGAATGCGCGGGTCAGGTGACCGGGGCGCGGGTCCCGGAACGACGACCCGGCGCCCCCCACACAACGGCGCCCTCATACAGTGAACCCGTATGCAGTCGGACCAAGTGCATAATAACATCCATCAGGAACATGAGGCCCTCCGCTGGCCAGCATGAAGAACGTTCCAGGGTATCCCCCCAGGATGCGCAAACACATCCAACAAACACGAGTGACATTAGGGTACCCTCCCCGAAGCGGCCTCGATTTTAGACCTTGACCTCGATCTTAGACCCCTAGCGTGGCCCCGCCCCCTCCTCCTCCTCCTCCTCCTCCTCCTCCTCCTGCTGCTTTGGACCTCTTCCTCTCTTCCCCCCCGAGGCGGCCCGCCAGACGGCGGTCCTTGCCGGTCGAGACGTGCTGCTCCTTCGCCATCTGGAGGTCGGCCTCCATGGACGCCTCGGGGGGGGGGCGGAGAGCGGCCGGGGCTCGGGGCGGGCGCGGGATCGAGGCGCGGGGAGGAAAGGGAGGGGAGAGGAGGGAGACAGGAGGGGAGGAGGGGAGGGGAGGGAGGGAACAACGGGAGGGCAGGAGGAGAGGGGGAGGAGGGGGGAGGGGGGAGGAGAGGGAGGATGGGAGGAGGGAGGGAGGAGCGAGGGATAAGGAGGGGGGAGGGGGGAGGAGGGAGGGGAGGAGGGAATGAGGAGAGGAGGGGGGAGGAGGGAGGCGGACGGTGGAGTGGGAGTTCGAGACGATCTCGAAAGGAAATGTTGCGCGCACGAGAGCTCGCAACAAACATCAATAGCCCACCAGCCCTCTGGGCGTAGGTGGTCTAGGGAGGCTCCTCTTCCAACCCCCCTTCGGGGAGGGGTTCATCACTGTTCCCTATTGATATATACACTCCCTCCACCAGGCGACTGGGAACCAACCCGAACCAATGAGGCCCCCCCCGCCATCCCTTGTAAAAACACTACAAAGCACACGCTGCTTCCAAATTCGGAACATGCGCAGCGAACCCGCGGCCTCCCCCCACCATCCCTGTCCAAAACACTACAAAGTACACTTGGCGGCGGCGGCTGCGGCGGGGGCAGCGGCTGCGGCGGCTGCGGCGGTGGCGGCGGCGGCGGTGGCGGCGGCGGGGGCGGCGGCGGCGGCGGCGGTGGCGGCGGCGGGCAGCGCGGTGGCGGCCGGCAGCGCGGTGGCGGCGGCGGCGGCGGACAGCGGGGGCGGCGGCGGCGGCGGGCGGGGGTGCGGCGGCGGATGCGTCCCCAGTAGCTGGCCATCCACAGGCGACTGCTGCATATGCTGCGGCTCGGACCAGGCTCGGGTGCTACGTATGTGTTGGGAGGGCGGGTGGGAGTGAGCGAGGCGGCTTGCGGGCGGGGAGGGGGTCTTGACCCCTCCTCCTGCCCCCTCCCCTCGACCTGGTGTCAGAAGGTACTTTTTCGCCCAAGATGGCTCCAAGAGCGCGGCACCCACGCCTTCACTTTGCGCAACAGTGTCCAGCGGCCCCTCAGGCAGGACGTCCTCGTCGACCGTCAGGTTATGCACGACAGGGTTCTGAGGCGTGCCGCCGTGCAGGCCGTGGGCGACCTCCGCCCAGCTCGCGTCGTGGCTCCCCCTCAGACGCCTCAGCGAGGCCGCGTCGACGCCGACTGAGAGCTGATAGCCAGCGCCCAGGGCGCTGGCCAGCATACCTGCAGAAGCACTCGATTCACACCTGAGCAAGGCACCGTCGACGCCCTCCGCGATGCCGGTCCGAAGGGCGTCAGGGGCGGGTGGCGGCTGCGGCCTGGCCATCGTCTGCATCGCCTCCGAGCGCGCCACCTCCGTCTCGGCGGCCGCCTGCCCTGCAGCGACGCCCGGCTCAGCCAGCGCCGCGCGCACTCGCTGCAAGGAGGGCGCCCGCGCAGGAGGCTCGGGGCGCGGCCCCGCAGGCCGCTGCGCGGGCGGCGCCCGCGCCGCCATGTGGGCCAGCCTGCGCTCGGGGGCCCCCTTCTCGCTGAGCAGGGGCCGTGCGGGCCAGTGGTGCGCCGGCGCCGCATCCTTCCTGCTGCCGCCCTGCACCTTGCCGCCTAGGCCGCTCGAGACCACGGAGAATTCGATCTCCGAGCCTGACCCGACTCGGCGCGAGGAACCCCCAAGCGCCGCGACCGTGCCGTCGACCTCCTGCGGCCAGCCCCGGGCCTCCAGCTCGCGGGGCTTGCAGTTCCAGTCGCCGCCGATGACGTAGGGCATCTAGGTGTCAGCGAGAACTGCCCCAGGACCAGCTTCGACTCCGCGTCGAAGCCTTTGGCAGCCACCAAGTACGCCGACGCTGCCAGGGCCTCCAGGCACTCCGCAGTTGACCCACTTCGCGATCACTCTGTCTCGTGGCAGCTCGGGTCTCTTGGGCGCATTGCCCATTCTAATGTGCGCTCGCACCCCGATGCCCACGCCGCCTGGCAAACCGCCCTTCTCGGTGCGCACTGGCTCGCTGGAAGCCGCCTTCCAGCCCCCTCTGCGGCGGGCCTGCCCCGCCTCGGGCGCCGCCCCTGGGGCCGCGCCCGCCCCCTGCAAGAAGACCACATCTGCGGTCGCCTCCAGCTGCAGCCAGCGCATCATGCTGCCGCGGGACGTGGTGTTGGCTGTGTCCAACCGCCAAGCTCCGACTTCACGCCGGGACTGGGCCAGCCTCCTCTTGGCCTCGGACGTCATGCCCACGGGCGCGCTTGGCAACTGGGAGCTCGATCCCTGCGGCCTGACGCGCCTCCTCGAGCTTGCGGCCGTTCTCGCCCTCGAGCTGGTCGACTTGGGTAAAGAAGGCCACGTGGTCGTCGTCCGCGCCCTTGGAGCCCGCAGGGTTGTCGCTCCGTTCGCCACCTGCAGCAGCCGCAGGAGAACCTGCAGCATGCGGCCCTGCAGCAGGCGGATCAGGAGGCCCTGCCCGCTCGCCCATGGGCACGCCCTCGCTGGGCACCGCCGCCCGCTCAACCTCGGCGACATCGGCCCTGATGGCGTCGACCTTCCGCTGCAAAGCCGCGCGCGAGGCCTGGAGGCTGGCGGCCTCGGCCCCGTCAGCGGTGATGGCTTCCAGGGCCTCCAGGCCTGCGATCGCTTTGGCCAGCTCCGCGCGGGCCGACCTGGAGCTCTGCACCATCCGCTTGGCCTGCTCGAGAGCCTCGCGGCCCTCGGCCTGCCGCTGGCGAGCCGCCGCGAGTGCAGCAGCCGCCTGCACCACGGCCGCCTTCGCCTGCTCCAATTGCTCAACGGCCTCCATGTGCGCCGCCTCCTTCGCTGCCGCCTGCTTGTCCAGCTTCTGCAGTTTCCAGATGCAGGACTGCAGCACCTGCGAGTAGGTCTTGAGCTTGACCTCCTTGGCAGGCTGCGTCGGCTGGGCCAGCTTGGCGCGATCCTCGTCGCTGGTGACCACAAAATTTTCCGCTGGCAAGGCCAGGCAGGCCGCCACCGCCTCCTCGCTGGCCCCTCCTGGGGCAGACGAGGCCTCGTGCTTCTTCTGCGCCAGTGGCGCCTCCGCTGACTGACCTCCCTGCGGCAGCACCTTGCGACTTCCCTTGTCCCGTCCTCCGCCAGCAGGGGGCTGGCTGCCCGCCTTGGCGCCTGCCGCCATTTCGAGCGCGTGCCGGCGAGCCGACAGCGGGGCCGCCCGCCCGCAGGAGCGGCGCGCCACCCTGCACGCCCAGTTGCCGTCCGTGCCGCACCTGCAGCTCCAGAGCGGCTTGCGGGGGCCAGGCAGGACGACTGCGTCGTTGGTTTGCGGCGGCAGACCTTGTCGCTGCCACGGCGCAGGCGTGAATCGCGATCCACCTCCAGCGCCTCAGACGCTTCAGCGGAGCCGCGTCGACGCCGACTGAGAGCTGATAGCCAGCGCCCAGGGCGCTGGCCAGCCCACCTGCAGAGGCACTCGATTTACACCTGAGCGCGGCACCGTCGACGCCATCCGCGATGCCGGTCCGACGGGCGTCAGGGGCGGGTGGCGGCTGCGGCCTGGGCATCTCCTGCATCGCCTCCGAGCGCGCCGCCTCCAGCGCGATCCACCTCCAGCGCCTGCGGCACGCGGCGGCTGCCGCCTGCGCGCCACCTGCCAGGGCCCGTCCAGGCCGCCGTCCGCCCACGAGACGCGCCGCGGCAGGCGCGATCCCCCGAGAGACGGGGCGGCGGGGCCTTCGCTCGGTGCGATGGGAGCCGAGAGAGCAGCGGAGAGCGAGCAATAGTGGGACATCCCCCCTCCTGAAAGAAAACTCGTTGCCAGTGCCCGTGCGTACACGGCGTTCTGAAGTATGTACGCGCAAGACCCCCCCACCTAGGAGAGCCCAAAACGCCTTTTCCTCTTCCTCCTCCTCCTCCTCCTCCTCCTCCTCCTCCTCCCCCTCCCCCCTCTCCTCCCTCCTCCTCCTCCTCCTCTTCTTCTTCTTATTCTTGTTATTCTTCTTGTTCTTTTCTTCTTTGCTATCATTGTTAATCCGATTCTCCTGTTATTATTTTTCTTCCTCCTCCTCCTCCTCTTCCTCCTCCTCCCCTCGCGTGGCTCCGGGGGCCTTGGCGCTCCTCTTCGCGGTGATGTGCTTGCTGGCTGCGGCACGCTTGTCCGCGCTGTCCTCCGCGGGGGGGGAGGCATGTTGGCGACTCAGAAAGGCAGGGTAAGTAGTCTTCGCGGACACTGGCGCGGAAGCGTCCTTCGTCAGGTTGCGCATGGGTGCCCTCCTTTCCATTGCGGCGTGCCGCGCTGGCAGCCCGCGTAAGCCACCTCGCTATGCCATCTCGTGTGAGACCTGCTTCTTCTCGTCGCTCATGTGTCGGGGCCCCCGAACGGTGTGTTGACCACACGCCCCCGGCGACACGCTGTGCCCTGCAAGCGGACAGCGTGTCGCTCCGCTCTGCGAGGGATGAGGCTGGGGAAAGCTCGAAGAAATGACGCGTGGCCGATGGTTGAAGAGCAGCGTCGGGTGTGGTGAGCCGGAGGAGACTCGGGGTCGTCACGCGGCGTTGGGACTCGGGCCGTCCCCCGAGAGAACGTCACTCGGGCGACCAAGGCCTCCACGGCCCCCCAAAAGTCCGTGCGGTGACGGACCGCGCGGTGAAGCCCCTCGGGATTTCGAGGTCACCGCCGGGTCCGTCACCACGCGGCTCCACTTCATCACTTTGGGGGTTGTGATGTTTGTAAGCTGGCCTATAGAAAACTTATATCAAGGGTTGGAATCACGATTGCAACTATTGTTCTATCATGGCTTCTACCTGCGCTATATTTCCATACCTTACCATAGTTAGGTCATACGTTGTTGTAAACACATGACAACGTTCATACAGTTCTGATACGTTTTCCCGAACTTTCCATCTTTGCAAGTTGTGAGAATATTGTGAAGTAGCATGACGAAAGACCCAACCATACGCAGCCGCGATTAAGATAAGACGAACGAGGGGCGCGCGTAAACTCCGAGTACCGCGCGCGGCATGGCATTCTGTCACGAAACGTGCGGAGGATGTGCCGACATGAGTCAAAATCAGAACTTTAGAAAGTTATGTAAAGTTATGAAACTTATGAGGAACATTGTAAACGTTATCCAATACTTACAACAACCATTATGGCATACAACTGTGCAGTTGTGAATAGTTAGCGAGGCTCTGAATCAGAGTATAATCATACTTATAGTCGTGAAGCCAACACTTGATATGAGTTTCCTGTAAGCCAGTGTAAAAGAAAGCATCACACTCCCAACATGAGTAACCACGAAACGTGTGAGGGATGTGCCGAAATCGGGCGGCGGCGCAATGCGAACCTTCCCACAGGGGCCTTAGGTGGAGCTCCGATGGGGCCACGAAGAGTGTGCGGGGCGTGCCCGAATGGGGCGCGATGCCATGCGAACTTTCCCACTGGGGTCTTAGGTGGAGCTCCCCATGGGGCCGCGAAGCGTGCGAGGGGCGCGCCGAAATGGGGCGGCGGCGCAATTCGAACTTTCCCATTGAGGCCTTAGGTGGAGCTCCCTATAAGGTCGCGAACCGTGCAAGGGGCGTGTAGAAATTGGGCCGCGGCGCCATGCGAACTTTCCCACAGGGGTCTTAGGTGGAGCTCCCTATGGGGCCACGAAGCGTGAGGGCGCGCCGGCATGGGTCGGCGGTGCCATGCGAACTTCCCCACGGAGGCCTTTGGTGGAACTCCCTATGGGACCACGAAGCGTGTGAGGGGTGCGCCGAAATCTGGCGGCGGCGCCATGCGAACTTTCCCACTGGGCCCTTAGGTGGAGCTCCCCATGGGGCCGCGAAACGTGTAAGGGGCGTGAAGCAATGTGGCGGCGGCGCGAACTGTCCCACAGGGGACTTAGTTGGAGCTTCACATGGGGCCACGAAATGCGTGAGGGGCGTGCCGAAATTTGGCGGCGGCGCCATGCGAACTTTTCCACTCGGGCTTTAGAAAGGAGCCCCCTGTGGGGCCATGAAGCGCGTGGAGGGCGTGCTGGCATGGGGCGGCGGTGCCATGCGAACTTTCCCACTGGGGTCTTCGGCAGAGCTCCATTATGGGGTCGGCCTCGCCGCGCAAACTGTCCCACTGGGACCTTAGGTGGAGCTTTCTATGGGTGCACGATGCGCGCGAGGGGCTCGCCGAAATGGAGGCGGCGGGGCAAGGGGAGGGGGATAGGGAGAGGAGAGGAGAGCCTGGCGGCCGTTTGTACGGAGACTTCCCTAGAGTCTGTTCCAAAAGCGTGCTCTCGCCGCAGTGCGGGCTGCACCTTTGCTCCCGACGGCCACGAGCCCTGTCCGGGCTGCACGTCTTGCTGCCGTTCGGGGTGATTGCTTGGTCAAACTCCTTGGTTGCGGCCTCCTGGGCCCGCCCTCGGGCCCGCGGGCCATCGAACGTCGACCTGGGATCGGAATTGGCTGATGAAGGAAGATATGGGCTTTCCTGGACAAAAAGAAGGGCTTGGATTCGGGCGGGGGGGGAGGCTAGAAATCCGAGTTCGGAAAGCAAGGAAAGCAAGAGTTCGAAACAAGTTGAAACGATCAGGGAGATATCAAAAACATTCAAATGTCGTACCAAAGTTTGGACAACGTTCGAAAACATTGAGTGTGATCCACCGCCGCTTTACTGTGGAACATTCCCCCCCCCTCTTCCTCCGGAACCCGCCCACCCCCTCCGAATATCCCCCCCCCCCCTCTGCTCGAGCGCCCCCCCCCCTCCCCCGGCAACACTCCCCACCCCCACCCCCCTCTGGAAAACCGGGAGAGGTCACTACCGGTTCGAACGAACCCCCCCCTCGGAAAACCAGGGGACCCCGCTTTCCACCCGCCGCTGGCAAACGACTCCCAGGTCCCCACCACCGTCCCCACCGCCGCCCTCACCACAGTTCCCACCACCACCGTCCCCACCACTGCCCCACTGTCCCCACTGTCCCCACCACTGTCCCACTGTCCCCACTGTTCCCACCACTGTCCCCATTGTACGCTGTACCCACCAGTGCCCCCACCACCGTCGCACTGTCCCCACTGCTCCCACCACTGTCCCCACCACGGTCCCACTGTCCCCACTGTCCCCACCGCTGTCCCAAGGTCCCCACTGTCCCCACCACTGTCCCACTGTCCCCACTGTCCCCACCGCTGTCCCACCACTGCCCCGCTGTCCCCACTGTTCCCACCACTGTCCCAATGTTCCCACTGTCCCCACCACGGACTCCACTGCAACACTGTCCCATTGCCCCCACCACCGTCCTCACCACCGCCATCACCACTGTCCCCACCACTACCGTCCCCACCACTGTCCCACTGTCCCAACTGTCCCCGCCGCTGCCCCACTGTCCCCTCGCCACTGTTCCCACCACCACCGTCCCCACCATTGTCCCACGGCCCCCACTGCCTCCGCCACTGTCCCATTGTCCCCACTCTTCCCACCCCTGTCCCCACTGTCCCCACCAGTGCCCCCACCACTGTCACACTGTCCCCACTGTCCCAACCACTGTCCCCACCAAGGTCCCACTCTCTTGTGAAAACATTGGCCTCGATTTTTCCTTAAAAAAAAGATCTGGGGCCCGTTGGCGCCTCCTCAACCAATTACAAATCTGGGACGAAATGGTGCCCTTGGGAAAAGGGTCGGGGCCTCTGGAGCCCTGCGTCCAACAAAGATAATTCGCTTTCCCCTCCCTTCCTCCCTGCCTGTCGCTTTCCGCCTCTCTTCCTTTCTTTCTTTCCATCTATCTATCTCTCTTTTTTTGTCTCTCTCTCTCTCTCTCTTCCACTTGGTTCACACATCCGCCACCGTGCCGCGGACCGAGGTGAGTGACCTCTACCATGTGGAGACCTCAACATTGAGCATTGTGCGCACTTTTTTTCTCGAGAGCCCAAAACCAGAATGGCATAGTTTCGGCGCGCACCTGGGCGCTCTTTCGGTGTTCCCCGATTGGCTTTCTCAGAGAAGCCTCAGGCGCGTCGTTGGAGGCCTCAACCTCCAACGTGCCCGACGTGGCGCGCAGGAAGCCTCTGGAGAGATTCCAGGGCTGCCTCTAAAACCATTCCATGTTTGTACGAATTGAGCGCACTATGTTCTTCTTCCGTGAGAGCCTCCAAGACGAACCCCATCACCGCTCCCAGAGGACCTCAACCTCCCGATTGAAGCCCAAAGTGCCCCCCCGTCGGACACAGCAGGGGTAAATGCAGGCCCCGAGAGACACCACAGAGGCCCCCTACCACGCCCCCCACGAGAGACTCCCAAAGAGCACCCGAAGAAGCCTCCAAGAGGCCTCCCGCACGACCCCAACGGGCCGCCACGACCCGCCGCTCCCTCTTGGTGTATGGCGTGCCAAACCTTTGATGTTTTGGTCCGTTTCTATTTTAAAAGATCCCGATGGGGTCTCGGCGGATCCCAGCGGCCACCAGAAGAGACGCATCAAACTCATCCTCCACTGGTGCCTCCTCTCAAGACGGCCCCGAGATGGCCTCCAAGGCCAAACTGAGCTCAAGATGTCTCCTAGACGGCCCATGATGCACGGAAGACGGTGAGCCCCCCACGACGTCCCAAGGGGGCTCCAAGAGGACCTCCAGGATGCCAAAAAACTTTGATCTCCCATACATGTTTTCAATTATTCTTATGTTCTCGCCTTTTCGGGATGGCGGCCCAAGAGGGCCCCAAGATGGCCCTCCAAGACGGCTCTACAGGGCCCACAGAGGGACCCACGACAGCCCAGAGAGGCCCCCATGATGGACTCCGAAGGCCAAGAGGTCTCTTAGAGACCCCCAGAAGCCCCCAAGAGGCTTCGGGAAGCCCTCAAGAGGCCCTTCAGAGGACCCCAACAAGCTCCCAAGAAGCCCCAAGGAATCCGCAAGATGGCCTCAAAAGGCCTCCTTTTCCTTCTCCTCCGCCCCCTCCCCCTCCTTCTCCTCCACGTCCTCCACGTCCTCCTTCCTCTCATCCTCCTTTCACTTTCTCTCACAGGTGTTCCTCCACGAGTGCCAACAACGGCTGGGTGAACACCACATAATCCTATAGCTTTGCCAGGCTTTGGCCCAACGGTCGACTGCATGGGCGTTTCCAAAAGGCAGGGGGCTTCGGTGGTTCGCCGTAGGCGTCTCCGATATAGCTGTATCAATAAGATCGGAAAGCGATTGGCCACGACCTGGGTTCTGGCGGGGAGGAGAAATCAAGTCAAGTCCGGAGCGCCCCAAATGAGCCCGCGACGGCCCTAACTGGCCCCAAGAAGGCCCCAGAAGCCGTCAGAAAGCCAAAGAGCCTTCCACTAACGGCCGATTCGCACCAACAATAGCCCAACACTGACCCAAGAAGGCCAGCAACCGGCCCACCTGGCTCCTAAAGCTCATGGCCCCCCGAGAGGACTCGTAAGGCCACCCCCACGAAGCACACATCCTTGATATCCAACAGACGTTCGCACGATTGTATTATACTCGCATTGTTGGCCTTCAGAGCGCCCAAGACGGCCCAAGAGGCACCAACGTATCGCCCCGCCAGGGCTCGAAAGGCGTCAAAGAGGGCTCCATGAATGGCTCATGACGGCCCAAGAATGGCTCCAGACAGCCCAGTAGAGCGCCAAGATAGCCCAACGGGCTCCCAAGAACACCCCCAGACAGTCCCAAGAGAACACCACCAGAGGCGCCATACACACACGGACATCTCTGTCTGTCTCTCTCTCTCTCTATCTATCGGTATATGTAGATGTATATTATGTAAAACATTAAACGGATCTCTACCATGCATTCGTATTTGATGATCACGCTCCCTGACTTCCATGTCCACGATTAGGTCATGCCGCGTCCAACTGCCATCACCATCGCTGTCGTGATTGGTCCTCGTCAGTCCTATCTCCGTCACTCTCTTCCTCCTCTTCCTCCACCCCCTCCCCTGCAGTCTCCACCTAGCCCACTTCCTCCTCCCCTCCAAAGCCGCCCACGGCGACAATACGACCAAAAGCCGACCGAACCGACCGACAGGGAAACCGGTAACGACAAGCCGCAAGCAGCCCAGAAGGGCGCAGCAACGCAACAACCACACAACAAACGATCGGACCGACCCGACCGAGCCGCGGACCTCTTGTCCTTCCTTACTCCCTCTCACCCCTCTTCCTCTCCTCCTCCAAAGGCATTCCCACTGTTCTGTGTTCCAACTGTTCGTCATTGTGCTGGCTCTTGCTCGACACATGAATCTTTGTCATCGCCATGTTTCCGCTCCCCCCATGCTCACACCTGGGGCGATCCCAGCCGTGGCGACGAGGGATCCCCCCGGAGTCGAACAAACAACTCCCTCGAGGGGGAGGGGAGGACAGTGGGGAATCGGAGGTGGCATGACGAGGAAGAGGATGCTTGCTCTGATCGAGCTCGCCGGCACTCTCGCTTCCAGCATGAGCAAGCGGGGGCGCGCGCCTTCATCATTTCTTCGTACTCCTGAGGCTTGAGGGAGAGGCTGCAGCGGGGCAGAACATGAGACGAGAAGGGAGAGAGGATAAGAGATGAGAACTCAACCGTCCCTTGCCCTGATTTCTGCAGTGCTGGGCCACTAGAAGGTTCGAACCTCTCCCCCCAAACCTGCCTCTCATCCCGAATCGTTCTCGGATCCCAGTGACTGCCCCAAGGCCCGGCGAGGGCCCTGGGAGGCCGAAAACGGCCCCAGGCCTCCCACCCGAGGAGGAGGAGGAGGAGGAGGAGGAGGAGGAGGAGGAGGAGGAGGGGGAGGAGGAGGGGGATTTCTGCTCTCTGCTTCTCCCAACGCGAGCACGTCTGGGAAGGCCCGCGAAGCGAGGCAGGCGGTGCCCCGCGCGCTCGGACCTGCGGCGGGGGGCCTCGAACAGAGCGTCGGGGGAGCGCGGGGGGCGGACTGCCCCCGCGGGCGGGCCGGCAGGTGCAGCGCGGCCCCGCGCCCATCAGCTCCAGGGAGAGCTGACGAGGGGGGCCCAGAGCACACAGGCAGGCAGGCACAAGTCCCAGGGTTCGCCACTCTTTCCCACATTTGCAGGGTTTTCGTCTTCCCCCCCGCTGCGCCTATTTCTCCGCACTCTCCCCCGGGAGTCGACGATTATTTGTTTCTGTGTGTTGTTTCCCTCTGATTTTTCCATCTCAGGGCTCCCAACGTGAGTGGCAGGGAAGGCGAGGGGCAACGATAGGGCGGTGACTGGCCTGGGGGGGGGCACATCGAGCTCGGATCCACGATGCATCGCCGATAGATCTGCGATAGGCCTACCGGTAGCGAATCCGCACGTTCCTGGGCAGGTTGGGGCTATGGGGCCCCTACCGGCGATGAATGGGCGATTTGTGATCGATGCGTTCCCCCCTGAGCCTATTTGCCTCTGAGGAGGGCGGAGCAGAAAGCCAACCCTACAAAAGGGTCCGTAGGATGGAGGCGGCAGCTGTCTTCTCCCCTAGCAGACAGATGAGCTCATGTGTTTATGTATACCAACACCTGTACCGAAAGGGCAGCGGAGGAGAAGAGGTAGCTCCGAGAGGGTACACACACCACAACGAAGAGAGCAAGTTACAATCAGGTCGCAACTGGTGCTCTGTATTTTTGCTGCTCGCCCCAATGGTTGCGAATCGGGACTCTGCCTCACGGCCTGCTCAGCTACGCGAGCAAACGGAACACATATACTATGACACATAATGGCGACAGTGGCGTGCCACCAAATGCACCCTGGCCGTACGCCATCTTCTGTACTATTTGGGACAACCTACGCGCAGAGTGTTACCTGCTGATTCCTCCTGGATTGGGAAATCAGAATTGTCCGAGCAGAGACTGGTGCAAGCTGTCCATCTTGAAGGACCCAACTAAACGCTGGAGTGCTTGCAAGATTCGGGGGTGAACGCCGCAAGCAATCCAAGACTTTGGGCTTCAGCGTTTTTGAATTTGGCCACAGCCCGTGCTCAGAAGATGGACTTGGTCCTGGGCGACCTTTCGGGTGACCTAAGGAGCAAAATTCTTCATCGATCTGTTCAAGAGGCGGTCGAAAATATGTCGGCGCGCATCTGTCGCAGAGCACAGACGGGCGATTCGACCGACCGTGGCCCGTGGCCACGCTAGGCGCAAAGAAGGGTTATGGGACGAGGAAGTTCCGAAGAAGGGCATGCGAGCAGCGTCCCTTGAGGTAGTGAGATACTACAAACATGCCTCCAACGATCTCAACGTCGAGCTCCAAAAACTCCACAATCTGTTGACACCACTCAGTTTTTACAAGGTAAAGGCTGGCAAGGCGCTGCATGTGCTCTACCAGTGGCTTTGACGTTCTCGAGGCCAGCCCAGCTCATATCGCGAGGATGTCGTCTCTGAAGCGGAAGTAGCCTTTTGACGCCGTACTTGCTGCGCAACCTTGGTGATGGGATCGGGGCCTCGACGAGGGCCGCAAAACGTGATCTGTGAGTTCCCCAGAATGCGGCAGGCAGCTGTCTTCTCCCCTGACAGACAAAAGGTATTCGCGTGTCTATTTGTGCCAACGCCGGGACCGAAAGGGCAGCGGAGGAGGAGAGGTAGCCGAGAGAGGGGGGTGCACACACGGGAGACCCTTGGGCGCAGAAAAGGGCATACCAGCGCTGTGCGCCCCCCTTGGAGGCGCACGTCCGATCCGACGTTGCCAGGTGTATTCTTACCCAGGCGGTACGGTCAGGCAGCGTTTGGGGAGAAGAGGCAGCCGAGACAGGGTGCACACACACACAGAAGTCTCCTCCTCCTCCTCCTCCTCGCTGGGGCGCAGAAGAGGACATACCAGTACTGTGCGCCCCCCCTTTGGAGGCGCACACTCCGAACCGAACATGTACGACACGCCTCTCGATGGTATGTGCTTACCCCGGCGGCCCGGGCAGCAAGCCCCCGCCTCCGAGCACATGCCTATTAGAAGATTTCTCAGCGCACCGCGTCCTCCCTCCTCCTCCTCCCTCGTCCTCCTCCTCCTTCTCCTCCTCCTCCTTCTCCTCCTCCTCCTCCTCCTCCTCCTCCTCCTCCTCCCCCTCCTCCCCTCCCTTCTCTTCTCTTCCTCCTCCTCCTCCTCCCCTCCTCTTCCTCCGCCTCCTCCCCCGCCTCCTCCTCCTCCTCCTCCTCCTCCGCCTCCGCCTCCGCCTCCTCCTCCTCCTCCTCCGCCTCTGCCTCCGCCTCCTCCTCCTCCTCCTCCTACTTTCTCCCTTCTCGGCTACACTCAAAGAAAAAACACCCGCACGAACAGAAACTTGCCGAGGCCTGTACGGACCTCTTGGATCTGCGCTGGCCGTCCCCTGGCGGTGCCTCCGCCGCCGCCACTGGAGCGCTCCGCGCGCCAAGGATGGGGCCCCCACGCCGATCCAAGAAAATCCGTGCAAATGTCCGAACATCTGCATGTTTGCTCCTGCGAAATATGCAAGAATGACTCCAGTCCAGAGTGGCCTTCCCAGTGATCTTTGGTGCGCGGATTGCCGATCGCCGCGCACCAGGGGCAACTCCGACGAAGGGCCACTCCTGCGTGAAGCGAGTCTTTTCCCGTGGCCGGTGTTTCGTCCTGGGTCGTCACGGTGCTGGGACACGGAGGAGGCCTCCAGAGGCCGGAAAGCGACGAATAGAATGGGTCCAGGGACACACAAGACACACATCGCAGGATTCCCTATATCTTTCATTAATTTTGGGAGGTTCGTCGTCCCTCCACTTCCCATGATTTCCTGGGAATCGAGACTTGTGCGCGTCTGTGCTTTATCTTTCCTCCCGAGATGTTTACGGGTGGCCGCGGCAAACCATAAGAGCGCAAGGTAAAAGATGCCAGGGCCTCTGGGCATCCAAACGACGACCCGCCACAACGCTACGTATTCGACTTTGGACGTCTTGTTGCACATCGGCCTTGGGCGGTCTTCGGCGGATCTTCTGACAGTCTCCGGCGGTCTTCTGCGCGAAGGCTGGATGGGTGCGTTCGTCAAAGGGGCCCATGGCCGAGCGCCGAAGCGAGGGTATTCTGGGAGGCTGGGCTGGTCGACGCATCTGGCCAGTGGGCAGGGAGAGCAAAGAGGACAATCACATCCCTGGAAAACCACGTCGCTGTATGCTGGGCGGCGAGTGTACCCCCGCCGCGACCGCATGTTTGTGTGGGCCGTTGGGTTTTTGTGTCGCCCGGTGCGCGGCCAGGTGGGCGTTACTGTGGCCCGCGCTGGCTTCTCAATTGGAAGTAGTATGTGAAGACTTC